AGAGTGTCCTTTATGGGGATTCAGTCCTCTCCAGCGTGGAGAGCCAGCATGTTAAACTGGAGCAGGACTCTCCAGGTGGTAAGTGAGATCAAATAGAGTTCCTAGATGAGCCTCTCTCACATATTCTTACATGAGGAATCTGTAGCCATTTTCCCTAGGAAAACATTTCACAAGAGATGGAAGTTGTGAATGCACAGTACTGCATACTTAGCCGTCATCCCCTAAAAAATCACATTTTCCTTGTGTTTGTGGCCTTCTGTGTCTTTAGGAGGTCATAACAGCTCAGCACTAATTTAGGAGTGATTACACTAATGTGTAATCAAACAATCTTACTGTTTCATCTTGAGGCAACATCATCTAGTGATGTGTGCCAGGAACTGGCAGTTGGGTTTCCTGGCTTCAGTGTGTGACCTTGACTGATAATTCTCTAAGTGTCTCTGGCTGCAAAGTGAAGATAACACCTCCTTCACAGAACCAACACTTTCAAGATGTTCCACATCAGATCAACATCATCTATTTTAAATCTGATGCTGTGAAATACTCATTTTGAAGCCTTTCGTTACCTGGGCTGTGTAGTCATAAAGTACTCTGTAGTCCTGTGATGCCGTGATTCTAGCTTGCTGATTGTCAAAAATGGATGCATAGACCCCGTCTGTTTTCTCTGCTAGAGGGGGGAAAAAAAAGAGACCTAAATAAAACCCACCCACAGAAACAAAGAGTTCAGTTGCTTATAAATGCATGGGATCATATGCAAGAGTTCACAAATACAAGAGTGTCTGTTCTCTCTCTGTCTAGAGATGTACATGTATAGAAAAGCTGCTGTGAACTGTATGTAAAGACCTACACACGAACTGTGTCCCATTGATTAGATGCTAGTACACCCTCTGGATTTAGTGGGAGGTCGGACACTAGCGTTAGGTTGGGAAAATCATCCAGGTTGGGAAAAAGGTTTATCCTGCAGAAGCACAAGGTCTAGAGAGGGAAACGCTGTGATTAAAGTGGTTTAAAATGGTTGCAACCGGTGGGATCAGATTCTGGCAGTTCAGTGCCTCACACAGGGCTTTTCTTTTTCCCTTGAGAAAAATGGAAAACACTGTGCTGATGGGTCACCAGACGTTTGCTGGTGGTTTACATAGCTCCCAGATAGCTGTTTGTCACTGACGTCACTTTCTTGGCAGATGTTGTTTTAATCCAGCTTGTCATAATCAAGGCAACCTCTTATTTCCTCCCAGCGTCTGCCTGGGAGCTTCCCCTGCCATTGAGGTGAGCAGAGTTTTCCCACAGAGACTCCTTGGTGGGATGGTAACGCTCTGACAGCGCACGGAGCAGCCAAAGTGCCTGTACCGTTCCCTTGTCAATCCTTAGGTTAGTTGTCCTGCTCCAAGGAGCACTGTCAGCTCCTGGACTTTCCAGATGGGAGCAGTTGAACAAGCGGAACACAGAGGGTGTTCGCCGTTCCTGTGGGACTTGCCCAGGGAATGCTCTCCCCTCCTGTCCCTAGCCTAAGGGAATTCAGGAGGAGTGACTACCCTCAACTGCTCAACACAGCATTGCTCTACGTGTGCAGGCCCAGCTGATGTTTGGTAGCACTGGAGAGTCTCCCCTGGCTGAGCACCAAATGCAACAGGTTAAAATAGTCTGAGCTTTGCTTCTGGGTGCCCAAGCAGGCAGGCCTGGAAAGGGAAATTGATGTGGGGTGTTTTAAAAACTGTTCTAAACCAGCTGTTTGTTTTCCTTAGGCAAGAATCACAGTTAAAATGGTTTTGTTTTAAATTGACCCATTCAAAATGGCATCAACTGTTACTTTCTGTATAGTCAAAATACTGTGTTTTAAATGTCATCTGTTAAATGCCTGGTTGCAGTGGTTACAGTAAGACAGTGTAATTGTGAAGCAAGATGGGTATTTGCATTCATAAGGCATAAACCTGGTCTGTTAAAAACTATGTATTCTCTTGGGCTTTTTAGAAGTAGTGTATTCTACTCTAGGAGAAAACTATTGCCTAGGATGGATTGTGGTGGTCTGAATGTACAGTTCCCCTTTGCCTAGACAGTGGTTTTGAAGATTATAGGGATTATTTGGCACTTCAAACTGGGGAATTTGTTTAATATACATCCAAGCTAAATTCAGTTCCAGGCTTCTCTTGCTCTTGACTGCTAACATGTGAATATCTGCTGTGCCATTTCTGCTGCACGTCAAAGCTTGATTTAGCTATGTGATCTAAAACAAACACATCTGGTAAACTTATTTCCTGAAGAGGCATACCAAGAGGAGGGGCTGAAGGAGTGGCACTTTCCGTGTTGTGTTTGCTGCTTCCATGCAGGAGTCCAGAAAATCTGCAGAACCAAGAGAAACCAATGACAAAATGAGTGAAGAGGACTGGGTATGAGCATTCCTTCGTCTCAGCTGTCTTACTCAACCTTCCCTCCATCTGCTGCAGCACTGGGTAGATGTCACCTCTTCCTGTGGCTGTCTATTTTCATTTTTGCTGCAGATAAATTTATCTTCAGTTAAAAATACACTTTAAAACCGCAGCAGAATACGGAACCATCAGCCATCGCTGAAATGCATCAGATACATAGAATTTTATTGTTGATCCAAAGGCTCCAAAGTGCAAAACTCCAGTTATTTCACAGCATTAATATGGCGAGAATTATCAGTTGTTTAGAAGAGGTTGCCATGTTTAAGGAAAACTCTGGTACAAGTTAAAATCCAAAGCTTTTATAACAACCTTTCTAAAAACTGAGTTTAAAGAGGAAAAAAAAGAGATTTATTTTAATCTAGCTCCAGTTCTATAATACTGCTGGGTCCTGGAGACTAAGTGAGGAAGTGGGTTAGGATTCTCAAGTGTAGGTACAAATAGCATTGCATGCTGACGGCATATTTAAGGGGTCTGGTTTTTCAGCTGGTAAATGCTCAATGTTAAATGGAAAACGTATATCCAAGCTCAACAGTTTCTGCAAAACTCGGGCTGAGCCTCTTTTGGCTACTTGCCCATGCAGAGCAGTTGTATTCTACACAGCAGGACAATCGTCTTCTGTGACTGTATAGGATGCAGCATTAGAACTCATTGTTATAGAAGATCCGGTTCCCAGCTGTAAAACAGAGCATTGTATATAAACCTTATCAGCTCCCTAACAAGCCTGAACCACTCTTTAAATGGGACATCACAGCCTGCTTCTTGTCTTTGCTGTGTAATAAGGCTTGTCAAAATATAAAGCTCTTCTACCTTAAATACGATGCCATTCCCACTGTGAATTAGTCATTTTGGTATAAAATATTTAAACCAATAGATCTACCATGCTCTTCTGCTGATAGAACTGCATCCATGTGACAGCATTTACCAGCATAAATGGATCAGAAAAAGAAAAATTGCCTCCCTAATCATCACAGTTATTCCACTCAGTGCTTTTCCCTTTGGTCTAGCTATAGAGAGCAGCTCTTTGTTCTGCTCAGCTGGGCGGTGCAGTAAGCCAGGAGGTATTGCCGAAAGAGACAGCTCTCCCCAGCCCTTGCTCCCAGCAAGATTCACCTTTGCCCTCCCTTGAACAAAGTGGGTTTGTTGCTATGTGCCATGACTCACTAGGAAAGAGGAAATAAGTGACTGCTGTCTGTTGCTGGCCAACTAATTGTTTTATGAACACATCCTCTGATTCTCTTCCCACTAGGCCATGGCAAAATTACTCTGACTCTGGTTTTAATAGGTTTACTTCTTCTGTCAAGTTATATTTACTGATATGTAGCTGCCTCTTACCACTGTGAAGGAAGTAATAACTTTGCAGGTCTTGTCTCCTGTCATCATACATTGCTGTTCATACAGAGAAATACCTGTTCTGGGACCTGAAGTTTGCCACTCACCTCTTCATCATCCCACAAGACTGGGTTGGACTGCTGTTACTTCTGTTTGGTTCTTTGCTGTAGTAGCTCTCATATCCTATTGCATCTGCAACAGAGCAATAAAAATGAGATGTACACATGGGGAGAACTTTTTTCTCCCCCCAGAATGCAACCAACAGTTGCAACCATCAGGGGCTGCTGGAGCAAACTGCAATACAGCACCTATCTTAACTAGCTTGTAAATGTGGCTGGAGTATCTCAGGGGGACCAGGGGACTTGACAGAAGCCATTCAAGTGATTGTAAGCAGATATGCCTGTGATAGAAAGGCATGCTTGATATGAGACAAGCACTGTCAAGGTCCTGAAGACCTATTCTAATAGCTGTGGCTAACCCTAATGCAGAAGGTGGTTTCCTCCATGACGGTTTCTTCTGTTGCCTTGAAGCTCAGGATTTGAGGGAGCAGAGCATGGTGACTGTAAGCCTGGGACCATGTTCAGGAGACAGTTGGCTGCAGTGTTTTGTTTCTCTTTCTTTCTCAATGTACTAAGGCAGGAATTTTTGTCAGAGCTGGGAGATTTCTGAATATTCTTGCCAGCAGCAGTAATGAGCAATTTTCTGGTCTGTGCTTGATCTTGAGTGTCTCTACCTTTCATATCTCCCCTGTCAGCCCCCTGAGAGCTGATCTGCCATTTACCCAGAGATGCTTGGGTTTTGTTCTTCAACACAGTTATTTTACAGTTCCTTCACTCTCCCCTATGGTGGTGTTCAGGATGAAATTGAGACTGTTTCCAAGTCTAGCTTTACAGATGAAATAGTTACACATGGATTTCTTTCTTTTTCATCTCATAGCTCCCAGTGTGGTTGCTTTGAGTTGCTGGCCACATGCCCTTTCTGCCTTCTCTGTGTTAAAGCCAAACAAACCTGAGTGAAGTCTGTGATACCGTATTATCTCAGTTCTGATACCAGCCAATTAAGACTTTGGCACTGAACTTGGGCTAAAGGTTGTGTTGACATTCTCGCATTGGGTCAGCCAAGACCATAAGCAGAGCGAGCACGTACAACTAGTCAGTGTGAAGAATCTCTGCAAATAAGAAGCAGGATAATTAGGGAGCTTTCTGAGCACTTTAAGGGTCTACTTTTGCCCTTCTAGATTGTTACCTTGGTAGTTCCTACTCGATAATGATTGTAAGATGAGGTAAAACGGGAATGAGCAATCGCATCAAGAAACTGAAAGACTGATGAAGGTCTGCTACACAATGCAAACCACACGTGGGCTTTCTCCTGCATTCTGCAAATAATAAACCAGATCAACAGCTCACCATGTGCTACTGTGCAAACTCATTAGCCAAAGCTGTGGAGACACAAGGATGTTACTTAGAGAACATGTCACCTTCTAGGTGGCAAAAATAATAAAGCAACCCAAAAAATGAAACAAAAATCCTCAAAACCCAACAAAAAAGCAAGGCAGCTCTCTCTTTGCCTTTCAGAAAGCTCTCAAGGGTTTTTCCCACCTATTTCTTATTAGAAATGAGTCCTGACATAGCCAAGAGCTGTTTGCAGAAAATTGCCTAGGCAACTGGAGAATGAGAAATCTCACATAGGAAAAAAAGCCAACTAGCTGAGAATTACAGATTTCTTAGTACACAGAAGTTGTTTCACACTGTTGCAAGGCACAGTACTCCCTTCTGCTAGTGCAAATGTAGTTTTTCCTTGGTAAATGCTCCTGTTTCAGTGAATTTAAATCCCCTGTGTGAAGAAGAATTAACTATAGCAGCAAAATGGCATCCAGTGCACCAGCATCAATACATTCAGTTAAAATATTTTCCCCAGTCCCAATTCTTAATTGTTGCAGGTGTAATGACGGAAAAGGCTGAGTGAAAACTGGGCTCAGTGTTCAGTTAATGGCAGCATCCACCTCTGCTGAAGAAGTTCCTGAGGTGCAATTGCTGCCAGCTCCAAGCTCTGTGATGAAATCAAAGGGGTGTAAGCTGCTCCTGTATGAGATAACTATCCCCTGGGACAGGGATGTGAAAGACAGTTCTGATGTTTGTACCTACACAAGTCCTGGCATGCAAGGGTTTTATCAGTATAACATTTTCTTATGCCTGCAGAGCTTATTGCCCTCTCTGAATGGGAGTAAGCTCTGTTAATACTGCTGAGGGCATGCTAAGGGGATTTCCTGTTTGACCTAGCATGTTAGAGCAGATAGTGGAAATGAACCAGAATCTGTGCACGGGTTAAAAACAATGGAGGAGATCTTTTCAGCATAGGTATGTGTCATCAACCAATGAAGAGGTGAAATGGGGCTTTTCCTCTCCTTTTACAAAGGCTGTGAATCTTTGTTTACTCCAGCAGCTGTACGGTACGGAAGTGCAAGTACCACTCAGTCTGTAAGTATCTTGTATTGCTTGTTGAAGTAAGAGGCTGTGGTTTGTATTTGGCCATGTGAAACATTAGATAGCCTCCTTTTTGGTGATGTGTTTGGAGAACAACTCTGGAGCAGCATGTTTTCATTTTACAACTGCTCTTAGCTCTTGCTGTCTCAATCTCCATTTCAGCCCAGAGGTTTTGGTCATTGAAGTCAATGAAAAGGCTGCTTTGGCTTGAAGTTTGTGAGCCTTGCATTTCTTCTGCATGCTGGGGCAAGGCCAATTTCATTCAACGTTTCCCCCATCTAGGGTCTTGCCTTTACAAACAACTTCCTGAGGAGACAAAAGATGTTACTCCCCATTGGGCAGGTGGAAAAAGCCAGAATAGAAAGTCTGGTCTTCTCTGTGCTGCAAATGACGAGGCAGCATCTCTGTCAGGGGGACGCCACGGTGCAGTTACATGGCAAGTTGGCTCTGACTTGTCACCACTGCAGGAAATTGAGGTTGCCATCTCTCTCTGCAAGGCAGTTTGCCACCTCCTCAGCGGCGTCAGCTCAGCTGTACTGTGAAATGAGCCTGGCTGCAAAGCCAAAACAACTTCTCTTTTACTTTTTTCCACTTTGAAGGGTTATTTTTGAGTGGCTCACCCACCTATGCCACTTACCATGCCACACAAGGAGCGGCGGCAGCACGGTGAGGAGGAAGTGAGCCATGGGCGGGTGGGAATGAATCGCAGGAGCAGAAGCTCCGAAGGACGCGTGCTGCACAACTGCAGCCTCAGCCTCCCGGCTGACTCATCGGATGAGACCAGTAGAAATAATTACCTGGAGGCTGTGTTCCTGTCGTTTTAGTCCTAATGAAGTAGTCTATGTCTGACTCTACAATGCAGTTCTCCAAGCTTAACCGGACCTCTTCATACAGCTACAAAACAGAGTCCAAGAATTGAGTTAATTTGTAGCGTTTCACATTGAATCAATGACTAATGCTCTTCAAAACGATTTCCCCTTAAGAAACACTTTTTACTAGGTACATGTCAGACCCGGATGGATCCCAGTCCCCCATACAAACGTCCTTGAAAACACAATTGTTTATTTGTGCTCTGGATATTCTTTTAAGCGAGGAGGCTGAAGGCAGTCCAAGGCTTTTCAATGCAAGAAAGAAATTAATAGCAGGAAACAACAACTCAAAGTCAAAACTAGTATATTCTTTGTCTTCCAATTTTGAGACCATGACTGGATGCGTTTCTGCAAGTTGCGCCTCAGCCCAAATATACTCAACTGAGCATTCTGGTAGCTGGAAGCATACCCAACAAACTGAGGGGAGGAGATGTGTAAGTGTCTATACCCAGGCATATATCTGGTTTACATCTAGAAGGGAACAAGCTACATTGAGAATACTCCCCCCTCACTGAAATTGCACAACAGCCAGTTTGCTGTCAACAGGCACAGAGAAGGGCAAGCTAGTGCTGTGCTGTTAGAGCACCCTTGTTCCTCCTCTTCCTCCTCTGCATGTGAAGGTACTTGGCAGGTGTCCCTACCTCATCATCCTTCACACATTGCATGGAGAGCTGGTTGCAGTGAACCCACAGTGAGTTGCGGAGGATGGTGATGCGGTCGCACTCCTGGAGCTGGAAGACCTAAAGCCAAAGAGAAGATGTGATGTATCCTCGTGGCAGTTAGTTATTTGCATTGCAGGCAGTGACAGGGCCAAGTTGGTAAGTCCTGAAGGATCCTTTGTAAAGGATGTCTTTAGGGTTAGCTACTGGAGAAGCTGCATCTACTTGTTCATGCTCAAGAAGTTGTTTTAATTGATTGCACCAAATTAAAGTTATGTATTACAAAAAGCAGGGGAGAGGAATCAGGATCTGGATTTGACTGCCAAGGATTTCAGAACTGGGGTCCTGTGTGCTCTGAAATCTTGATGTTTAACAGATCAGTAGAGTACTGGTATGAAAAGGTTGTATTTATGTTAGAGGCAGAGCCAAAACTATCCACCTCTGCCTTCTAAAATGTCTTTCCATACTTTTGTCTTCTGAAACTATGTGATGCTCTCTGGAGTTGCCTCTATTTGTTTCTAAGGTTATTTTCATGGTAAAGAGAAGACATTTTTCTCTCTTCAGAGTTTAGTTCCTTCTTTCATCTGACTGATTTTTCTCCTGTTGTTGCACAGCTTGGGAAGAATGAAGGGGGAAGAGAGAGAAGTGTGAACTGATTTGGGGGAAGAGGCAGATCAACTCTTTCTTGAAAAACTTAGATCAGGGTGGTTTGATTTATTTTTTTTTTAAGTTATACTTCTATAAGTAGAACATAAATTTTTGGTTTTCTATGAGGTGTGAAAAGCTCAGATGCTTCCAGCCATCTGTTTCCATCTCCATTTGCTAGTAATTATGTCCAGAACACCACAAATGTATACAGTATTCAGCAGAACATTTAGTTGGGTATGCTGCCTGCCATGTAATATCTTGCCATCTAAAAAACTAAACAGCAAAAAAAGGAGTCCATCAGGGGAATAAGCTGGCCTTGCAATCAGTTTCTGGGAGAAACAGCAAAAGCTTTTACAGAGAACCTGAAGGGTGGAGAATGAGTATTTCAATATGCATTCTGAATACAAAAAGACTATCCCTGTAGGGGCTGCTGAAATAGCTCGAGAGCTGACTGGGAGTTTTCCAGGTAAATGGTGTCCTGTCAGGAAATGCAGCTCTGCAAAGAGGGAAGCGTAGTGACTCCGGGCTTGTCAGGTCCTTACTAAAGTAGAGCTGGGTGTTGTGTTAGACACATCCCTCGTGCCCCATTGGCTTGTGCGACAGACTGGCAGTGAACCTGGGCATCTCATGCCATGGAATATGGCACTGCCCATGTGATGAAGGCCATCCCAGTGCTGCCACTTGCTAGCCAAGAATTTGGGCTATGGGTGTGCAGTGCTCGGCCGGAGACCTGAGCAACTTCAGCAGTTCTGCATTCTCCGCTATGCAGCCAGAAGTTTGGGCTCTTAAGTTGCCTTTTGTGCTAGTTGCTAGTTTTAAATGCCTCCGAAAATCTCTTGGTTCTTGTATCTACAAGCACTTTTAAAAGAGGTCCAAGATGCCCTTCCTTTATGAACAAGTTCAGCAGCAAGAAGGCCACAAGCTCTGGGGGCTTTTCAGAATTTAGCCATGTGGGAGAAACAAAGTGTGTTTGGTTGTGGAACACTTCACTTGTTTGTTGGCTTTTTAAGAAGGGGGGAAAATGTGCATCTTGGGATAATTAAGACTTGGCGTAATTTCTATGGAAAGTCTGCTGTGCCAGCCATGGGACTTTCCAGTCCTCCCAGACAGGGGATATTTAAGAGGAAGCAGAGAACTGACAAGCTACGCTCCTGCAACAAGTAAACAGCAAAATCATACTTCAGCAGATGGGCAAACGTACTTGAAGGATTAATATGACCAAATATGTGGCTGAATTGGATGTCAAGCAGTTCCTGTAAATTGTTGTGCAAAGCTTATTAGCCAGGCACAGATCTCCTCACCCCTCCTCAGCATTACGGGAACAGAGACTTCACCACCACCTTCCAATTGAAAGATTAGTCCATGGCAGAGGGCAAATATTCCTGCAGGTGAATATAAAGTGCTGTGCAAGGTAAAGATTCTGAAGGGAATCTTTTGTTTGTTAATTTTTCAGTAATTACTTAAATTCATGTTTCAATTTTGAAATTAATTTTTAAAACTAAAAATGAATTTTCCTGTCTACATTTCTGTTCACTTTCTACTGAAACTACATTTTGTCACAAAGCAGTTACTTGCGAAACAACTTCGTCTTGGCTGTGATGGGTCATTCCTAAAGCTACTGTAGTCTTACGTTTAGTTTTGGGCAAAAGCTAGCACCAATAGATTGTACCAGGTCACATATTGCTCTGCTTGTCACACCTCTGCACTGATTCCCCTCCTTTGTATTTACATACATGTGCTGGAGCAAGCAAGGAGAGTGTAAGCAGGGCAGCTAGCAGCTATGTCTAAATCAGCTCTGGCTTTTGCAGTATTTTTGCAAAGACATCTACTGAGACTCCACATAGAGCAAACAGCAAAGCCCTTGGGGCAAAATCTCCGGTCTAAGCCTGATACCTGCAAGTAGGAGAAAATAAAGAGCACACAAATATATCGCTGCAAAAGTCAATGTTTACCTGGCAGGTTTTGATATGTTCCTGTTCCCACTCTGTCCTGACCTTATCCAGCTGCTCAATGTTCTGTTTGTACACATTCTCTGTGAACACACACACACACAACAGAAATCCGGCAGTTAGGGAAAAAAATGATACAGCCTTTTTCTTTTTCCTCCTATTGGGACTTTGCTGTAGTTCTTGCTCTTTAGGTCTGTGGTTTACTAGAGTATCCTAAGAATGTGTAAGTTTGAAACTGGAGGGCCACAGGGTATTTGGGGGGTTCTTCTTTGCAACTTTATACTAGAGTGAGGAGGATTCTCTGTGTGGTTTGCAGATCATCCGTAAACTTTACAGATTGGAGATGAAGAGCCTCAGTGCTTGAGGACTGAGCACCCTTAGGCTCACTCTGTGCTGAGCCAGCCAGGTAAGACATATGCTTTAGTGTCAACTTTTACATGAGCAGTGAGGGAGAAGTCTGAACTCATGAATCAGCTCAGGTGACTGCTGGCCTGTCCTTCTGGCCATACACTGTGTTCCTGGCTGGAGAATGCCACCATACTCATGCGCAGGCAACCTGGGGACTGTGTATCTGGTTTGGGCTGGCTGAGGACAATTTGAATAGCATTCTTTTGTGCTTTCAAATTTCCTTCAAGGGAGCTTTTCTTTCTTGGGCAAAGTCCCTAAAGGAGGGGATCTTTGGATTCTTTAACGAAAGCAGGAGACTTGCATTTCCAAAAAGGAAAGGGAATGTAGGGGACTGTCAGGTTGCCATTCTTTAGAAGCTTCTTCATTAATCTTTGGATGTAGGTGACATTGGGAAACCTGGCTTCAAACGGAGCCAGCCTGGATGCTTTGGATGGTGCTCTATCAAAATCAGTGTGCTGGCAGATCTTTGCTGAGAGAAATCTTAGTTCAGTTGCAAATAGAGCATCACCTGCTTCACTTGCTGCATCTCTGCATTGCTTGGCTTTGTTCTGACTCTGAAACAGGAAAAGAAACACCCCAAATTAATTTCTGACCATATGTTTTGCTTCTGGCCCAGTTTTTTTTCTGCCTGCTCCCTTTCCCCTTCTGGAACTTGCAAACTGTCCTGCCTTTATGCGCAGTTCTGTTGAATGTGTGCTATGGAGAGGCAGGGACCAGAATTTCACAGATGCAGCTATAGGTCTACTGACTTCAAGGGAAATATGGCAATTTACATCGTTCCATGCAGACATCCCTGCCACAGGAGTTTGGTGCCAGTGTGATCCAGCCTGGTTCTTGTGCCTGCTGGCTGAGTTGGTTTTTCTCAAGTATTTGATGTGCTTTTCTAATAGATACTTACAAGCAGAAATAAATGGCAGTTGAAATCCTTCATCTTCCAAAGCTACTTGTTTAATACAGGTGGAAAGAATACAGCCTTTAAAATACTTTGCAAATACCAAAGTATTTCCCAGAACAACTCAGAAGCCTAAAAGCAAAATTCACACTAAGTAGAACTTCTCTTTTTTAGAACCCTGCAGCTTTTAACAAACAGGAATACAGCTATTATTGACAGCTCTGTACTCCCAGCTCTTTCTGCACAGATGGTGATGACAGTACATTAACACGCGGCTCTAGACATCAGCGTAATACATTCTTCCATTCTGCCCTTCAAGATAAGGCTCAGGTAGGGGCTCTTATGACCATATTCCTCATCACAGCTGGTTGGAAAATGTATAGTAAGCTGGGAACATAAGCTTCATTCTTATCTGCTTCCTGGCCCAAACCGTTTGCGAGTGCTGCGCAGAATTAAACAGCTGACATGTTTCCTGTGGGATGCCTCCGCACACTTCAAATGTACTGGCATGTGTGTGGCAGTCATGGCAAGGAAGCACCCTGGGATCCTTCCACATGACAGGAGTGGGGTCAGGTTTTGATGCCATTGAAGCCGTTAAGTGTTGTGGTGTGATTTCAGTAGGGCCAGGACTTCATCCCCTCTCTACAGCTAAGCTGGAGAGTTTTGTTCATCAAAGACTAGCAAATGCTGAAAATAAAATGTAAAATTGTGATGCTGTTTTTAGAGCCTCCATCCCCCTGCTCCTTGAGATGATTTTTGATCCTTTTTGCTTACACTGCACTGATTTTTATCGAGCCAAAGGGAGTTCATTTATTTTGTTTTCTCCATCTGTTCTGCTGTAAAATGTTCCCATTAAAAGTTAGTGAATTGTCAGCTACAAGTATCAAGACGGTGCAATGAAGGACTGCAGTGCCTTAATTTCCAGTGATTTATTTTTGAGTTTGTAAATTTCATCGAAATTAAACTAACCATAAGGAGAAAAATGTTGAGGAAAAATACGCATTTTAATGTAAGATCCTCTGCCTACTAAATGTAAGCAGCTAAAAGGCAAATCCAACCGCATGACACACTTCTGACTTGTTCGTTTTTTATTAGAATTTCCAAGAAAAATCTCCTTCAGTTTCCCTTCAGGATTCATAGAACAACTGGATCATAGCCTGGGATAAATTACTTGGGTAGCTTAGTCCCTCCCCAGCCTTTTTAAAAGCCCTCGTCCTACCGCAGAACAAGATTGGGGTTACCAAAGCTTGGGAAGGAAGACCTCCTTGGGAAGGGGCTTTGCTTCCATTTTGTTTCAAAGGGCTAATTAGAAGGGAAGGCAGCCCACAGAATGGGTGGTTCAATAGGATTCTCTTGTACCTTGAAAAGAGAAACCACACAGTTTTCCCTCTAAATAGCATTGTCCTGTAAGGTACCTTTTCTGTTTGCTTCTGGTTGCCTAAGGCACTTGTCCGTTCAAAGGACTGCTCAGCCTCAACCGCCTCCTTGCACTTCTGTTCGTAGGTCTTCTTCGACTGTATGGAAATGAAATGACATGTGAGGGTCTGGGTTAGGGGCTGTCTCCAGGGTGATGTTCTAGGCATTTTCTGGTTTGCAGTCTGAGGGAGGAAATCAATGCCAATGTCGGGGCAACAGAAAAACAGAACTGAAGAATTGAGCTAGGAATTGGGTCTTTTTCCTGCAGCCCTGAAATGGTTTGATTTATCCAGTTGCAGCCAGCTCCCTGCAGGGGTGCTCATGAATACACAGGCAGCTCTAGCACCAGCAGTGCATCAGGCACCTGAGCTGCAGTGCAGAGACAAACTTTGGAGCACACATTCCCGTGGTGCTCCTGGGGATGGACTGTCATTTCTACAGCGGGACTTGGAGCACCAGGTGCTGAAGTCAGTGTGTTGCCTTGCCCATCGCTCCAAGCTATGAGACAGAGCCAGCACCCCATAGGTAACAGTCTTGGAAGTAAAAGAAATCCTTATTTACACAAGAAGACATCCGTGTCTTAGAGATTCACTGAGAACAACTGTGTTTAAATTAAAATTAGTACAGTTCCAGATGTAGCACTGACAGGTCTGCAACTACTTTTCTTTAGAGGCAATTGCCCATTGGAAACCAAGCCCAGCTGCCCACAGTTCCAGTTGGAGAGGTTTCCTCCTGTTTGCAAGACTCCCTCACTGTTTTTAGAATTATATTTACACAGACTGAAAAATTCCATGTGCTTCCGTAAGTGTCTTTGTCTAGAAAGGATGAAATCCTATGTGACCTGGGGCATTGCTCATTCCACATTGACTTTCTGAATACTTATTTTGAAGACTCTTCAGTGGGTGCAGCAGAGAAGATTAGCTTTCTCCTTGGAGCAGGAATCATATCCTCTCTCTCATACACGCTTGCACACTCACACATTCTTGACCTTTCCTTATTTATAGGTACATGTGATAGAGAATTTACCCTGTCTCAAACCAGAGCCCATTTGCATTGAGAAACCTGCACAAAACTTCCCTGCTTACCTCCATTGTTTTCTTATAATGGGACAATTTGCTCTTTTGCATGCACTCCATTGCAGACTCGTACTGTAAGAAACACACAGAGTTCAACGTTTTTTGCCTCAGACTTCTTCTCCCCTCTTCTAGTGGCAGGGTTAGGAAAGCCATTGTCAGGGCTTTATATGAGCCACGTGCATATGAGGAAAACTACTTCACTCTACTAAGGACAGTTTCTAAGAGATACAGAGAGCATCAATGTGCCAGGTAAAAAAAATAATCCCAGATAATTCTGCTTCAGTGGTCGCCATTAATAGCAGAGAGGATGGAGATCTTTATTTTCTCTGCCCCCTCAAATAATCCCAGATAATTCTGCTTCAGTGGTCACCATTAATAGCAGAGGGGATGGAGATCTTTATTTTCTCTGCCCCCTTCCCCTTTTATTTTCTTAAGGAGATTAAATAGTGTAGCCCCCAGTCATAGTGCCCATCAGCTCTGCCAGCAGAGTTCCTTTGCTGGTGCAAGAGCTTGATCCCACATCTTTGCAGACCAAACCACTGTCTCACCCACATAAGCAAGGGTACTTGTTCATTTTAAACACAAACAATCCCTATGTAATTTATATTCCATTGTTTCTGGCAAAGTTATGCTCAATGCAATTTGATTTCTATACCATCGTCTAGTCAGTTGTCCCCAAAGGACAGTGCTGAATTCTCTTTCATGGTTTTAGTTGCGATATGCCCAGCCTTATGTGGCAGTGAGATATGGTCCTACTTGGCAGGGTATGGCTTTCTTCAGGGGGACTTTTGGTCCTTTATATTCTGCTCAAGCAAAACTCTCTGCAGGGCTACCCAGAGGCTTGCTTCATTGGGCTAAATAGCACAGTCCTGAGAGCAGCTACAGTGAAACAAGTATCACAGGATTTTGGGAGGTTACCAAAAATGCTGACTGTCCCGTCTAATGTTGACTCCCTCACAGCCACATGCTGGATGGAGAAAAAAGCTTGCCTAAGATTCCAAAGCAGTTTTTTCCAGGTCTGTTTCCAGTTAGTGTTTTCAACAGGAGAAAGAACCTCTCTCTTTGGAAATCCTATGGCAAAGTGGTGGGGATACAAATGGTGATGAACTAGATGCTTGCTGGCTGTCTTTACATGCCTTATCTGCTTCATCAGATTGCAGGAGACCTCCAATCTCAGCAGCAGCACTGGTTTTACCTGCTTTAATATTTGGAGTCCCTTGCTATTCCAAGTTCCTGTGTGTCAGGGTTGTAGACACAAGGTTTTTATGCCACTGGATATTGGTCATGTGCATTTTCATTTGTTTAGAATTAGCAAAGAACTGAATATTCTATTTTACTCCATCAGTACTTTCAATGTTAAGTGACTGTCCCATCTTTGTCTTCAACCTCATGGAACCAGAGAAGGTGTTAAGTGGCCACTGTTGTCTCTATTGGGAGTCACTTTTTCAAGGGGCTTAGAGCTTGATAAGATTATAGGGGATGAAATATTTGTTATACAACATCAGCTAGATGCTGTTTATTCCACATATTTGTTGTAATTGAGCATATACTGGTGTTGCATTCAGCATGATAGTAATTTGCTTTTACGTTTTTAAATGTTTGTATTACCCCTTTATTTTAGTGCTTGTTGGAGATGATGCAGGATCATACCAAAGAAACCCAATTAGCAAGGGTATAAAAAAGAGCAAAGGAGGAATTAAGGTCTTAGAGGAATAATAATAGTATCTGCAGTTACATCTGAGAGAGTAAAAGTGACTAAAGTCTCTGTCTCCTGAGCTCAGAGCACTACTTTATTTCCAGCTGGGAACAGAAAGAGATTTTTTTGCCACAGCCTGGTGTCTGGAATGACCAGGGCACAGGGGACATGTTTCATCGTCTCAGGCAGTATTCACAGCCTCTGCCTGGAAACGGGCCATCAGCATGGACTACTGACCCAATCTGTTTCAACATTGCTCTAGTTCCTCACCTTTTTCCTTTGTTCCTTCTGTCTTTCTCGGAACTCCTCTATTCCTTTCAGTTCATCCTTCAGCATTACTGCTAGCTGGATATGAGAGTTTCCAACACTTTCAATTTCTAAAGCAAATCAGAATTCATACACAGTCAGTGGACAGGTCTATTAATATGAAATCATGTTTTTCAAGAGATGTTTCTGGGACGTGGCTACTGCATGACTTGTTACGTACAAAGCAGCCTTAACAAAAGGCTTCCCTATGTTTCTGCATGCACTGATACTGCTGAGGGCTCCCACAGTCTCAGTAAGGTTTACTTCAGGTCCTCTCAGGGCTGCACAATGCCTGGGCAACTCCTTGCTGCAGAGTCGGAGCACCCACTTGGAGGAGCCTGGGCAAGAGAAGAGCCGGCTGCACTTCTTTTTTGGCTGGAGGTCAGATGTTGTGGGGCAGAGGGAGGGACGGAGCTCTGGCCTCCACCATCACCCCCTGTGTCTGCCTTCCCTCCACTACACTGCTGGGTTGTCACTGCTCCCACTTGGCAGTTGCACCCAGGCTTGTACACATGTCATTAGACGAGGTTGCAAGCTGAGAATTCCCAAGGGCCGGCAGGGATTGATGGAATGTCAGAGCACCTGGCTGATGCTGTTTGAAGTGGCCAGTAACTTCTCTCCACTTGTCAGCATTGATGCCTCTGAAATGGAACCCCACGATTTCCAGCAGTATTGAGCTCCACCACCCAGGCTCTAAAAATACCTTCCTTCACCAGCTGCCTTTCAAAGGGTGTTTTCATCTAAGCAGCAGGTGCCGGTAGCACGGTCGCTGTGATGGTGCTGCATTTTCTGTGCGTGAAAGGGTTTTGTTCAGCCTTGGGCACATTTAGAGAGCGTGCTGGTTTGAGGCCGGGGGCTTGCAGCAGAGGGAACAGAGCTGGTATCTCATGACCTCATCCAGACAAAACTAACTTGAGGAACAAGCCATTTTCTTTGCCACCAGAGAGTGGATTGAGTGCTCAGCCTTGGAGGAGGCCCAGTGAGTCCTTTCCTTCCACTCTCCGCACTACAGACTGGGGTAGAAAAGCTGGAAATAGAGGGGGGGAAGAGGATGAAAGACCCCAGAGTGGGTGAGTACACTTGGTGCATGTTTTACCCAGGTCAGAAAGGAAGTTGTAAATACTTACGTTGCTTGAGCCTCTCAAATGCTGCTTTCAGTGTGCTGTGAGGCAGAAACAAGTGCACTTTATTAGTATAGGCTTCTAAGGATTGTGAATCTAGAGAAAAAGCTTTCCCTCAGAATAGGGGATAAAACTCTTAATAGTCTTGTAATAAAAGCTGACCACACTAACAAGCACAACAGCAGCAATCTGTTCCCATAAGGAAACACAATAAAATGCTCCATGAAGCAAGGAATTGGCACTGCTCCTCGTGTGCACCCTGTTTTTCAACCCTGCTCTATTTGTGGCTGTGAACGTTAACAGGCGTTTCTCTGTTCTTCCACCTTACCGATGGATACGAGTCAACTGCATGAAATAAAGACGGTCAAGGGGAATTGGGCTTTTGAGAACTAGTCTGAAGGGTAGAGCGAAACCAGCTCCACCCTCTGTGTTGAATGCGGCACCAGCAAATTTCTCCTCCTCGGTCACCCTTGAAGCCAGAGCAGCTCTGCTCTGCAGCATCCTTCTTCGTACCGCGCTTCCCGAGCACCCCCGTGTGGCACAGCTTGATCCCCTTTAACACGCTCACAAGTGGTGCAGGGAACCTAGGGAAGCTTTGAAACCCTGCTGCTCCCGGGGATTTTCGACATCCCAGAAGCACAGCATGAATAAACCATACGGTGAGATGCGCAAAAAGAGATGTTGTGCTGCTCGTCCAGATGGACCTACATAAATAAGCGGTCCTACAATGTAGAGTCGCAGAAGGGCATGAAAGGGTAACAACAGACTGCTTGGTGTCCTGTTTTCTTCACAATCCAGGGTCCATTTTAGGGAAGCACCCGAGACACCAGAGAGAAGCGGTGGGGAAGAGCATAGTCTGTAAAAGCATTTTCATCTTACCCTCCTCTAGCTGCGAGCCTGCAGGCCAGCAGGGCATTTGTACACACAGAAGCCAGGGCTGTGCTGCAAGCGGGAGGGGTTTCAGAGTTAGAAAGCGTATCTTCAAGCCCCAGAGTGTTACCAGGAGGAAACAGGTCTGGGATCTCCACAGAGCCCTGGTTTACCCCAGGCGGGAGCCCAAGGGAGCAGCCTGTTAATGAAGCCCCTGAAGTCTCCCTGGCTGAAGCCTGGCTGCTAGGAGAGCCCAGAAGAGGATGCACATCACTTCCCAGCCATGTGCAGCTGCAGATGGGTAGGGAAATTCTGTATCTCTTGGGCTGTTTCAGGCATCTTAAGAGACACATGAGGGATCCTAATTGCCCTGTGTTAATTTAGACCGGACATCTGTTTCCTAATCAAAGCTTGCTTTCCCAGTAGCAGGGCTGCCTTGCCAGGCATAACTAAAATGCATAGGCCTGGGCCTGTCCTCAGTGATACTGCTTTGCAGTCCACTGCCAAATCTACATTGGTAGAAACATAAGGAAAAGACTTGCAGGCAGAGAAGATGAGTATTGAGCTAACTGATTGATTCTTTCAGCTTTCAACTAGATTGATTAACGTGAATCTCCTGAGACAAGTCAGGGAAAACATGCTGGATCAAGTGTTTTCAGTATTGTCCTAATAATACTTAAACATTTTGAAGGTTCGTTTCAGAGGGAAAAAAAACCAAACCAAACCTGATATGAAATATTGATGGAAACAAAATTTTCACGACACAAGGGAAACAAGGAGTATTCTTTCCAGCTAAGCTAGTTAAAAGCTTGCAATTAAAAGACAGGATGAATACGAGCAGCAGAGAGAGCTTTTTCTCACCCAAAAGCTCTAATGGGTTATTTTGAAAAATTAAATACATTCAAGGAATAATAATTGCTTTTTTAGTGTGGATTTTCCAATAGGAGATGGGGAATGTGTCAACAACTTCATGCCTGAAATAGTTAGATACTGCCATTGAAAAAGCAGAGGACACCTGCAAACTGCACATACTGTTTGCACGCCATGCTCATCTCTTGTGCCCAAACACTGCTTTTTTCCACTTGCTGCTGGTGATTCAGGTTATGCAAAGACTGGCAGAGTTGCTGTGGTGGGTACCGAAGCCAGCACTTTCTCAGTACGGATCAAGAGTGAAAAAAACTTCCTGCTCTTGGTTTCCAGGCATCTGAGCTACCAGAGTAGCTCATGGTCATAAGCCATACATGAAGCTTTCCTGCTTTTGCTGGCTCTCTGTGAGGACAAGTGTGTCTTCTGGTATAAAAACACATCTGGCTGTGACCTGGAGAGAGACCACTTTGCCCCCTGCATGGTCTCTAATGGTCTTTCCAGAAAGCTTTTGCTCCTTGTGCAGAAGATTTGTTCAGCCAGTTCCCTAGCTGCTGACGGGGGCAGGGCCACAGTCCGTGAGCAGACTGAAAAGACTTTAGCCATTTCCTTCCTTATTTCTGTAATAATCTTCTAAACTCATTGGCTCAGGTCCCTTATCCTTATGGGGCTTAAGGGAGTACCAAATATGTCATTGTGCAAAGTGATATGTGGGAAAGAATAAATAAATCCAATTTTGATCCATGGATCCATCAGGTATTCCCTTAGGACTTTGGGCTGCAGTAGCAGTGCTATAGATTAGCTTCTCATTCCTCTGATTAGATCAGTGAAATACAGCATTCCAGTGCTTTGGAGGGTTTAACGGAAGCAACTCGTATAACTGACATCCAAGTGAGTTTTAATTGTGGCTGTGCTGGTTTGTATGTACAGTGCCTATTACCCATTTCTCTTTGGTGCATCTGACTTTCTAAGGGGATTGATAAAGGCTTTATTGTGAAGCATCCAACGTGAGGGCGTCTCACTTTCCTGGGCGCTCTGAACAGAGTTCTGTCCTCCCTACCTGGAGCCCTCTGCAGATGTCTCCTTGAAAACAGGCTTGGACACAGATTTACTGTGCGTATTTGCTGAAGGACTCCCCCTTGGACATCTAAAGATTGGATTTGTCAAAATGAATTTTTGGCAGATACAGGATTGACCCTGAATCCGAAGTAAAGGGAACAGATAGAGCCTGTGCCACAGCAGCTCTGCAGCAACTTCGGGTGATCTTTGCCATCTAGTGGCTGAAATACTCTTACCGTCTTCTGGAATACCCACCCTAGCTGCTGCCGCCTTGTGCTGTGCTCTCCTGCTACTCACTACCGCGGAATTCAGCTGCTCTTGTAAAAGCTGCACTTCCCAGTGCTTGTTTTTTAGTTGGAGGAGGAGGAGGGCAATAGCAGAGCTTTTATAGGAACAGGGAAACCAAGGGCCAAAGCTCATTACAATAAAGCTCACCATTGTTTAGTATTCTAGCTCTGTAGATTGCAAAATACTTCCCAAAATGAACTTACCCGAATTTACCCAGCACACCGAAGCTGGGAAGGCAACCCTATGTCTCTAGGGCACTGACTACTGGTCCCTCTGGCTCTCCTTTAACAGGATAAACACTTACACAGAATGCATCATTTGAGAGCTTGGTTTGATTTCGCTCTCAGCAGAACCTGTGCCCTGCTTTCAAGGCAGCAAATGCTTCCTGTATCTGAGCAGAGGTGCTTTGTTTGGCACTCGCCCACCATCACAGTCCATGTATGAGGAGCAGTGCATCTGATCATAATCCTTTTTACTCACACTCTGCAGAACTAGGTTGCGCTTGGTTCAGGAGGGCGACTCAATTGGAACAGCATGGGATGCCTGCACTTCGAAGTGGACTTGTCCTGGCTGCACTCTGTGTTTGCTTTCTCTCTCTTTGTTTTGGACCTTGTTTTTGCTAGAGGACTGGGCTGTTGCTGGGGAGCAGGCCTACGTGACACAAGGACCATCAGGAAACGTACTGTAGGTAGGTCTCTGGTACCTTCACAGTCATCCAAAGCTGGGTTTTGTGGCACCAGAGGTGTGAGAGGCAGAGCTGTCTCAGCAGCAGTGCAGGTCATAGGCTCACTCACCACCTACATGGTTGCACCACACCTTTTTGTTTTCAGCTTTACGCTTGGTGTTTGGGGCATTCTTCTTTATATACTTGCCTTTAGAGACTGGTTTGAGTAATTCAGAGAGTCCCTTTACATCTCGTACACAGGAAGGTAAAACGGGCCCTTCTAACCGGAAAGCCACAGGTCTTTTTTAATTTTCTTTCTACCTTTGCTTGGTGAATAGGAGTGTGAAATAACCTCACCCCGCTTTCTAGTGGGTTTCAGTTGGAACAGCAATGTGATCTACAGTGTTCTATTCTTATTGTAATTG